TAACCACGACTTGTTCGCTCCAGCTCTCGAGATCATATTCCAGCATAGTAGTGTATGCTACCATTACCTATTTTGCCCATTCAATGTCCCTTCTCTTTTGAAAATTCTATTTGGAATGGGGTCAATGGCTCAATATATCTCTTTGAAACTGAGTGGGGAGTGGAGGGTATCTTCAAGTTGCATTATGCTACTCTGATTTGATAGGAAGAGATCAATATGAAGAAATATACGTCTTTATAAGATCAATTATCAGTGTTAGTGAGGCTTTGTCAGGAAGACATCGATTTCAGTGTGAGAGCTTTAGGCACCGCCGCTTGAATTGTTTGAATTATTCAGGTTTTCCCATCAAAGTGAAAAGGAGCGTAACTACGATTCTGCTCTGCTGTAACCTGTAAGGGAAGAATCAGAAATAGTTTTACTTTATTTCGAGTATCAGGTAAAATGCAGCTAAATCTCTGTATCGGGGCAAGTAGTTCTTTGAAACGAATCACTACACATCCATAACTTCTTCCTACCAGAATGGCAGATTCTTTACAGAAATTTCATTTCTAATTTCTTCGAGCTTGTTATGCATGGAAAAAGAAGATATTTTTCGAGCAATAAATTTTTTTATGGCAGATAGTACAAAATGAATACGCAGTCAATGAATGTTTAGATTGGGCAATAAAACTATCAAGATATTTCCAATCTTTGTGGGTTTCCGCTGATTTACAACACGGACAGACAAATATTCCCAGATTACCGAGGGGATTGAGTAATGAAGATGGAGATTACTTTGTATGAGACTCAATCTGTTAACGATGAGGCAATATTTACACAGTTATATGCTCTAAGGTGGAAAAACCGCAAATGCCTTCTGCTCTGGCCTTTGGTGAATGGTGAAAGTCTCGAGGAGCATGTTTGGCAGGGCTTTGCTTTGACCCTTTTCAGAGCGAGCTCACTGGTTTCACCAATGCTTTGATGAGAAAAATCTGTGAAAATGATCTTAACAAAGAAAAAGGATAGAGATGTGGCAATCCAATAATCTGTCCAATCTTGAATACTATCTAAGAATGAAACACAACTGCTGGTTCAATCCATCAAAACATTGATAGTAAAAGATAGCTGTAGAATAAAAACGAAAATAAAAAAGAAATGAAGAAAAAAGAAGAGCGAAGAAAAGAAAAATGGATTAGGAAATTAAAGCTTTCCTCGAGGTCCCTAGCCTTGTCATATAACATCAAAGATATGCACAGCAGCTGCTGGGTGCTTGACAAAATCCAAGTCACACACAAGGAAGTGATTTTGTTATGTTGATTCCTAGAACTAATTAACACTAGCTTCCTGCCTAGCTTTGTGCACAACAGAGCACGATCTTCCATTTTCATGTTATTCTGATGAACTCTCTGCTACAACTTAGTTGCCTACTGAGAGGGGTCTCTCGGCTAGACCCAGAGGCGAACGTGATCGCTGCCTATAGATCCTGCATCTTATAACCCCTCTCTTCTCTAGCTGCTGCGGAGATGTATGCTTGATTTTTCCGAATTCTTGCTTGATCTTTATAACCTGGCTATGAGCTGGAAACCCTACACATCCACGATCCCCATCCCCATCCCTGCCTCTGCTATTGTTGTTGTTCTCCATTGAAAGTGACCAGATCTTCTTTAAAGAAACAACACTTCAGGTCTTGTATACCCGCCTGCCTGCCTGATTTTTGAACGTCTCGACGAGTATTTATACATGGATTGCAAGTGAGAGAGGGGGAGAAAACACGGTTTCTTCATGAAATACTGTAGTATTGCTGAAAGGGAAGGAAAGCGATGGAAATAGGACATTCTCTACTTCGACTCTTCAAACCGTGCCAACCACAACTATTTAAAAACTGACGAGTTTGGGTCAAAGAATCAGACGATTACTTGTTCCTTTGACTGTTGTCTGCATTCTTCACATTCACAAATGTACATGCGTATATATTACGTAAGCAACAGATTCAAAGTTCATTGAACGGCTATGGACCTTTCCCATTTGAACAAGGAAAACAATTTGAAGATCTTTAATTTCGGAGTCACGATTACTTCTGCAAAAGTGAAGCAACCAATCGTCCAAAACAACACACTTTTCCATAGCTAAACTATCGATTTTATACATTTTCTGCCAGTAGATTATGATTTTGGGCTTCATTTCTAATTCCTCCAATTGGTGTTTTTTAATCTCGTAATTTATGCCAACTTAATTATGTGATAACAAAAACGATAACGTCCTCTCGATGAATGCATGTCACAGGTTAGGAGCAGGAGAAGGTGCAAAGCTCCTACATCATCCCATGATGAACTAGTGCTTCCTCGTGTCTCGGTCCCACCGTCCTGACCTTTTCAAAGATTATAGCCCCCGGCACGTTCCGTGACCACTTCCACATGCCTTTTGACAGACCAAGATATAAATTAAAAGCTACGCTATCCTAAGAAAAATCAAAGGGAGATTGTCCTAATTAATTTTAAGCGATACACACACCTATCTAAAAACGTGATACCCACCTCTTTCCGGTTTGTAGCTGTTTCTGCTCTGAAATTTCAGCGGATTTTGATTTTTTTAATTAATTTTTTTATATTTTTAAGTTATTTTAATATCAAAAATAAATTTTAAAAAATAACACCAACTACATTTTCAAATAAATCTAAATCATATGAAACATTTAATAAATTAATTCAATATTATACACCTAGTTAATTTTTAAAGTATTTTTTATTTAAAAATATATTAAAATATATTTTTATTATTTTTTAAATTTATTTTTTATATCAACATATAAAAAATTAAAAATTTAAATAAAATAATTTAAAATAATAAAATAAAATAAAAATCTATTTTAAAAAAACACTTTTAAAATATAAAAGATTCTTTTAAAATGATTTTCACGTTGCTCTTCATTGATGCGTTGCATGCGCCGTAATTGAAAGGTTAACTATATGGTTAATTGATGCTAATCATTGTTGGCGCTCTGCTCAGTAATACTATCTTCTAGGTGGAGAGATTTTGGAGTTATTTGATAATGTAGTAAAAGTTATTTTTTAAAGAATATAATAAAATATTATTTTTTAAAATTTATTTTTAATATTAACATGTAAAAATAATTTCACTCAAAACAATTAATTTAAAGCTAAAAAAATTTAAAAAAATTAAAAATACGATTGAATTATAATACTATAGGGGCTCTTTTTTGTACTTAGATATTTTCATGTTTCTACAAATTTTCATTTTTCTCACGTGAAGTATATAGATTTTCATGAATTTTAATTTAATATAAAGTATAAATTTTAACTAATTAAAAATAAAATATAATAATTAAAATAATAGGATTTATTATGTAGTTTTATTTCTTCTTGTTATATTATTTTCAAAGAAACATTAAAAGCAATTATTTAAAATAATTTAAGATCATAGGATAATTAAGACACATATTAAACATGGTCTTATTAGGAATGGAAATAATAAACTGCGAAGTAAAAATAACACCATCCATTGGGATTATATAAAGGAGATAAATCTGGCTCATTTGATGTTCTTGTTTGATTCAAACAAGAACATACTGGACAATATATTTACACCGCAGGGGTTCACGTCCTAGATTAAAGATATCTAACGGCAGAGGATTTGAGATTTTACAGGAAAATTTTATTTATCTGGAGAGTAACTAGTGTTTATTTTATTAGTTATTATTTAGGATTTGTTTTGGAAGAGAAAAAACATAGATAAAAAAATAAAAAATAAAAAAATTATGACCAAGAATACTTTTATGTAGAATTTCTTTTTCTAGCGATATCTTTTTATTTTTTTAGAACGGGTTTCAAGAAGCAATTAATAAACTACCTCTACTATCATAAAATTACTTACTAGTTAATGTTTTCATGGAATCTCATGAATATTCTTTTAAAATCTACTTCTTAAATAATCTCATATATATATATAGTGAAATCCATAAATCTAGTAATTGAGACTTTGGATAATTTGATAATTTTCAGCGAGTTTCATATTTATGCAATAAAAAAAAAGTAGCCAATATAAACTCAATCAGTAATTAATCAGTTCACAATTCCGGAAAGATTTTGCATGATCACACAAAAAGAATTGATGAAATGTTTTTAATTAATGTTTAAATAAGTCCACGATTTTGAAGGCCTATTCAAAACTATTAAAACTTAATAAAATCGGAGCACATCTATTGATTTAAAACTGAAATCTTGAACAACAACGGCAGAAGTAGGAATTCCCTGGCATGGAAGATCTTGCCACCTGCCAAATGGACTGTTCAGCATTAACGAATATCCAAAATTCGTTTTAAAGTTGGAATATATGAATTTTGGGCTCCTCTTTCTAAGACCAGGGAAGGAGTGGTGGGTTCGAGTTCCATATAGAAAATTTGTACCATTTTCTTATTAATTTAAAAGAAAATTTTATTTAAATTAATAATTATAATTTTGTTAAAAAAACCACTCGATGATACCACAATGTTAAATGAGATTACAACTTTTATTGTTATATTTACAATAGTTCTTTTAATAATTATATATGAATTTAATGTACAATAAATTGTAAAAAAAAAAAATTACATACGAGCATTCATTCAATGAGAATTAAATATTTTTTTCTTATTTTCAATTAATTATTCTTTAATCTTTTTATATAATCACATCAAAATTATGAACATATTTTTTTTTATTTAAAACTTAGTATTTTAAATCATGAGAATTTTATTTTTTCTTAATGGATATTAAACCGGAATTAGATAAGCAAATTCTATGATAACAAATTCAAGAAAGAAATGTATGAGCAAATTCCATGATAACAAAACTGGAGAGCATCGACATAAATAAGCAATGAGTCAGCTTAATTCCCGTGTTATAAGAAACACTTCCCACTCACCGCTATGACCCAACAAAGCTAGCTAGCTACCCACTTCATATCTTCTGATCTTCATGTCTTGATGGAAGGAATAAAATAGGAAAAGGAAAGGACATAATACAAATTAAAACAGGAGGGATTGTATTGAATGGAATATAATATTCACAAATTCGGTGATCCACCAATATGATTATCATTTAAAAAAAATAAAAACACAAATAATAAATAAATTAGAAATAGAAATAGAAATAGCCTACAGATCTTGGAAAATCAATCTGAACCCACATATCACCACCACCACGAGACCAACCAAAATCGGTCGATCACCGCAGAAAACCCAGTCAGCTAACTCCCAATTCCTTTGAGAGCGTCCGTGGAATCCCACCTAGCACCCATCATCATCATCACCTTAAACTCCTCGAAATCAATCATCCCATCACCATCACTGTCAACCCCACTAATTATCTTCCTGCACTCGGCCATTGAGCAAGGCTCCCCCAAACTGGCCATCACTTTATGCAATTCCTCAGCAGAAATCGACCCATTTCCATCAACATCATAAACGGAGAAAGCATCTTTCAGGTTTTCCATTACCTCATTTGTATCCACCCCTTGTGTGTTTAGTGCCACGAATTCTTGCAAATCAATGAACCCATCACCGTCGGCATCGAATTCTGTTATCATAGTTTTCAGCTCATCTTCGGTTGCTTCATGACCCAGGCTCGCCATGATTGAGCCCAGTTCAGCAGAGGAGATCTTGCCGTCTCCATTGACGTCGAATTTCTTAAAAACTTGTTCAAGCTCTTGAACTTGGGGTCTTAGCCTGATAGAAGGTGATTTGGATCCGTTAGTTGATGTAACTATAGCAGATGGCGAATCGACAGAGGAATCTGATTTCTTGGACTTCTTCTTGCGGTTGAAAAGGGCTTTAAACCCCATTTGTGTTTTCTTAGATTTGTGATTAAAAAAAATGAAAGAGATGAGAGGAGAAAGGATTGAAAGAGAGAAAATGTTGATGTTATTCTTAGGTATTTGAAAAGAAATGGAATGTTGAGATTTGTTGTAACTAACATAGAGAAATTTATTGGTTTGTTAAGAAAGAGAAGGAGAGAGAGTTTAGGCGTGATTCATTGCTCTCGTTCCCATGCCATCTCATAAAAAGCTGTCTCGTCTCATGCCTTTATGCATGCGTATGCTGTAGGGTAAATGTACTTCTGATTATTTTTTAAAATATTTATTATTTAAAATATATATTTTTTATATTTTAAAAATTATTTTTTAATATTAGAATATCAAAATAATTAAAAGATATTAAAAATATTAATTTGAAATAAAAAATAAAAAATAAAAAATTATTTTTAAAATATAAAAACAAACAGCACTGTAAGCTAAAATAAAAGTGTATGAAAAAATCAGCTAAATATGTAATATTTATATTATTTTATTTTACTTAACCTGTTAAAGTGTGTCTATTAAGCATGATAATCAGTTAAAAAAAATCTAAAATATTATATATCTCAGGTGAATTATCTCTGGTGGATTGAGATTTTTAATAACTAATCAATTTATCTTGTTTGTATATTTACATTTTTATATTTTATCATTCATATATTTGGTATTTATTTTATTTTATTTTTATCTTATATTTTTATTTTATTTTTTGTGTAGATATCTTTAACATAAAAAATAATAGTTAGTCTTTAACAAAGGAGAGGTAAATGAAATTTAATGTGGTGTAAGGTATAAAAAATATACATGTAAATCCATAAAAATTAATAATATAAACTCAACTAGTGAGCATTTGTAAAATCCATAAAAAAATATAATATAGTACGTTATATTTCACTTTAATTTAAAAATATTGAATGAATTGAAATTATAATTTATAAAACATTAGAAATTAGATTTGTTATAATTTATTTACCAACCATATCGATTAATAACTCTAATGTAATATCGTAGATGGTAGTGGTAATCTATCCTAATTATTATTTGTTCTAAGTGACTTAATTTAAATCTATCATAACATGTGAATGCAATCTATTTATGATTTAAAGGGTCTAACTTATTTGTTAGAATATTTGATTGGAAAAATTGAATATATTGAATCAGAGATATCTTCACCAACATGTCAACACTAAATAACAATATGAATTAGTATCAGAAAAGATATTCTTAAAATATATATGAAATACAACCCATTTCTGATCAGAAATGAGTTGCATTTCGTATATACGATAAGAATGTGTTTTCTGATACTAATTCATACTGCTATTTAATGCTAGCACATTGATGATGATTTCTCTGCCTAGATGTATCCAGTTTTTCTTGTCAAATATTCTACTAAATAAGCCAAACCTTTTAAATCATAAATGGATTTCATTTCACAAGTTGTGATAGATTTAAATTAAGTAACCTAAAATAAATTGTTAATCTTTACAATAATAACTAATCTTTCTAAAAGCTAACTAAGATGAGATTTTTATTTAGCTGAAGAAAATGTTTGGCATCATATCCTAAATGTTAAAAGAAAAATTAGAAAAAAAATATATAAGATGAATAATTTAGAGTTCATGGTTGATGAAGTTTCTAAGAACTTCAGGGTTGAATTAGGTCTTCTATGACTACATCCTGTGTTGAAGTTTGTGAGCTAAGAAGGAGGCTATGTTTATGATCCTGTAAAAACGAATTCCCAATAGAAATAGAGGGTCTTCCATACTTGAATTCATAAAAATAAAAAGAAAAAAATAACGTGTGAAAAAGGTAATAATGTGCAACAAAATAAAATATACAAGGAGAAGAAAAGTGTGCCAGAGAGGAGCATGAGCAATTTGTACTGTGAATGAACAAAGTGTTCTTGAATTGTTGAATCTCGTGGCTTTAACTTGTTTGACTTCAATGTTTTACCTTTTGTTCATATATATTCATAGATTATGATCACATTTCCTTGTTTCATCCAGGTAATTTAATAATCATGTTTATATTTAAAAAAGTATTTTAAACTCTCTAAACAAGTAACAAGTACTATGCATTCTAGCTTGAATTATATATAAAATATTAAAAAATTATATAAATTATATATTAAAATCTTATCTAGTAATTTAAGTTATTGAATTAAGATGATTTTTTAATAATTAAACCATAACAAGTTTGAATCTTATAATTTTTATGTATTTAATAAAAATTAAGTATAAAGTAATACGAAAGTGTCCAAGTTTCAAACTAAAAAGGTTTTCATTTAAATAAGTGTGTTAAAAAATAATATAAATAAATTTTTTATTTAAAAATAAATATATTAAAGAATAATATAAATGATATATATCTTGAAATTTTATATAATATTATTAAATATATTATTTATATTCATAAAAATGAATTCATGAGAGAAATCTTAATGTGATTTAAGGGTCAAACCATGGAACCCAAAGCTAATTTAAGCTCTCTTTCTTGGTTAGGATCGGAGAATCTGGAGCCCATTTTTGCATCTCCAAAACCACCCATATTCAACAGTCTTCACTTTGGATTGGAAGGAACCACTCACGAGGATTTGCTCCCAACTTTGAACGGTCAACGCAGAATTCAAATGGAAGTTTCTCTGTAAACATGATGACGAAGGAAATGCAGACGAGTCATCACAGCAGAACAACCTTGGAAAATTTCATTGCACGCAAAGCTAAGTGCAGAAGTATTTACAAGTCCTAGGATCAAAGGGTCAGGTATTATCTCATTTGGGTTAAATTGGATTAACCCCAAAAAATTAAACAAAACAATATTTAAAATTTTAATATTTTGTTTAAAAAATTAAAAAAGAACACGTGGATATAATTTTTATATATTATAAATAAAAACTTATTTTTTATACCATATTAAAAAAAAAAATCAACCTTTTTACTGTATTGTGAACATAAAATAAGGAAAATATTTGATTGCCCCTTCCCGGAACAACACCGACACTTTCTATACTTTTTTGTGTTTTCGTTAATTATTTGTTTTTGTACATCCTTATGCCGAAGCTTTCTGGACCACTAATTTTTCCTTTGTTTCTTGAACAAAAGACGTTTGATAACAGTGCCGCGACGAATGTGAATTGTGCTCACCAGATATTGATTATTAAAAAAAAAACTACGCGTTTGAGAATTTGGCGTCCATTCCCGTTAACGACTTGACCTTGAACCGTACAAGCTGTCCCACCACTTCCTTGAGTGAAGGGTCGAAACTTGATAAGCTTGTGTCAGTTTTTTTATTGAAAAATAATATTTTTTTAAAAAATAATTTTAAAACTCTAAATAATTTTTTAATATTTAATAATATTATAAAAAATAAGTTGGAAAATATTTTTTAATATTTAATTATTTTATAAAAAATAATCTAAAAAATAACTTATTAATGTTTTATTTTTTTCAAGTTTATTAAAATAATTAAATTAAAATTTATAAATTAAAAAGTTGTATCAAAATAAAATTAAAAAAATATATAATTTTATAAATTATCTCAAATAAAATAAATAACAATAAAAATAATAAAAAATCAAATCAAACAGATAAAAAATTAAAAAATAATCAAATTAAAATAAGTATAATTATAATTTCATAAATCATTTTAAATAAAATAAAAAATAATAAAAAGAATGATAATTAAATTTAATAAATAAAAATTTTAAATTAAAAATTGATAAGAAAAAAGAAATAAAAATTATAAAAATAAAAATCAAAATTAATATAAAAATTAAATTAAAAAAATATTCAACACAAAATATATATGATAATAAAATGTTTGAAAATTAAATTTAATATGTTCAATAAATAATATAATATTTTTAAATTTTTCATAATATTTTTTCTAGAAATCAAATTAAATTATTTTTTGACTTGAAAAATATTTTTATTTGGCCATCTTTTTAAATGATAAACAAATATAAAAAAATTTAAAAAATAATAAGATTACTTTTCATCAGATAAACAGCCTGTTGTTCATCAGGTTTATGCAACCTGTTTTTGCACACAGAAGCAAAATATTGTCAAAATATTTATTCCAGTTTTCTTGAATTGGGTGAGCATGGAAACGCTTGCTACTGTTTTTAATCTTGTGCTTCTTTTGATTGTGAATCTTGCATTCAAAGGAATTGGAGCTGATTCGAACTTAAGCTGTATCAAGAGGGAGCGAGATGCACTTCTCAAGTTCAAGCAAGGCCTCACAGATGAATTGGAGAAGACTGTTGCACATTGAAGGGAGTAGGCTGTAGCAACAGAACTGGCCATGTTGTACAGCTTGATCTACGAAATCGGCAGCTTTCATTTGCAAACAAAACTACCTTGGGAGGTAAGATAAACCATTCTCTACTTAACTTGACACGTCTCGATTATCTAGACCTGAGCCTCAACAATTTCCAAGGTGCTGAAATTCCAGCTTTTCTAGGTTCTCTGAAAAATCTTAAATACCTAAACCTTTCTACTGCATCTTTCAACTGACAGGTTTCCCACCATCTTGGAAATCTTTCAAACTTGCAGTACCTTGATCTTAGTTGGAACTATGGCTTGGAAGTTGTCAAACTACAGTGGGCATCCACTCTTCCTTCTTTGAAACACCTGGACCTTTCAGGTTTGGAACTTACCAAGGCCATCGAATGGTCAGAGTCAATAAACATGCTTCCTTCTGTATTAGAATTGCACTTATCCTCTTGTTCCCTTCCTCACATTCCTCTCCTTTTGTAAACTAATTTTACATCTCTTACCGATCTTGATCTCAACACTTACTACTTCAATTCCTCCATCCCCCAATGGCTTTTTAATTTTAGCAGAATTCAAACTCTTAATCTAAGGGAGAATGGTTTTAGAGGCTCCATGTCCAGTGACATAGGTAATTTAAATCTACTTGCAGTCCTTGACCTTTCTCACAATGAACTAGAGGGCGAAATACCAAGAACCTTGAGGAATCTATGCAATTAGCGTGAGCTTGACTTGTCTCACAACAAATTCAGTGGTGAGATTTCTCAACCTTTTGGCAGTCCAGCTATCTGCTTGCAGAACTGTTTACAGAGTTTGGTTCTTGAAACTAATCATCTCAGAGGTCGTCTTCCAGATAGTTTACGAAGCTATAAGCATCTAGTCAACCTCAATCTTTATTCTAACACCTTTTCAGGTCCAATCCCAGCATCAATTGGAAGACTATCAAGTTTGGAAATATTAGACCTCTCCCATAATTACCTGAATGGTAGTGTTCCGGAAAGCGTTGCGCAGCTTTTCAATCTTGAGTTTTTGAATATCCATAACAATTCATTGAGTGACATAGTTTCTGAACGTCACTTTTCAAAGCTCCCCTCTTTGACTACCTTGTATTTGTACAGTAACTCACTAGTTCTTGACCTTCGTCCCACTTGGGTACCTCCTTTCCAAATTCGAGAGCTTGCATTGTTTTCTTGCGAAGTTGGACCCCTATTTCCACAATGGCTCCAAACACAGAAAAATGTTTCAACATTAGCATTTCGGATAGAATTCCGGATTGGTTTGAAAGCATTTCCTCCAATATTGTGTTATTGGACTTGTATTCCGACAAGTTCGAGGATCCTCTAACTCCTTTTCCTTCAGATGTGATTGAATTAGACGTCTCCAACAAGTTTCTTCGAGGCCAAATCCCCCAAGATATTGGCAACATGATGCCACGATTGACCCTGTTGCATCTATCCAACAATTCCTTAAATGGGAACGTCCCAGTTTCTTTATGCAAGATGGGGGGATTGCGATTTCTTGATCTCTCAGAAAATCAGTTTTCAGGAGGAATTCCTAATTGCTGGAGCAAGTTGCAGCATCTACGCGTGATGGATCTGTCTAGTAACATTCTGGATGATCATATTCCAAGTTCTCTGGGTTCTCTACAGCAACTTCGATCTTTCCACCTGCGAAACAATAGTTTGCAGGGAAAAGTACCTGCGTCGTTAGCGAAGCTAAAACGCTTGCACATGCTTGATCTCAGTGAAAATGTGCTAAATGGTACGATTCCTCCATGGATAAGTGAAGCGCTATCTTCATTGTCAGTGCTTGATGTTCATTCCAATAGGTTTCAAGGTGAGATTCCTCAGGAACTTTGCCACCTCACTTCTCTTCGCATTTTGAGCTTGGCACACAATGAGATGACCGGAACTATTCCCTCCTGTTTTCACAATTTTACTGGAATGATTGCAAATTTGTTCTCAAAGGAAGAACAATGGCCATATGGTCCTACCATATTTGATGATATTTATGGGTTTCAGTCTGTGGTATATGAGGAGAACGTTTGGGTTTATCTAAAGGGACTGCAGCAGAAATACACAAAGACACTTCCGTTTCTCTTTTCCATTGATCTTTCAAGAAACAGGTTTGTTGGAGAGATTCCAAATCAGCTTATGAATCTGTTGGGGCTACAAAACCTGAATTTATCTAGAAACAATTTTAAGGGGCAAATTCCTTGGAAGATTGGAGATTTGAGACAGTTGCAATCGCTTGATTTGTCTAGGAATGAACTTTCTGGCTTAATTCCTACAAGCCTTTCTCAATTGAATTTCCTAAGTGTCTCGAACTTGACATTCAACAAGTTATCTGGACGCATTCCATCAGGAAATCAGCTCCAAACTTTAGATGACAAATCCATCTACGCTGGGAACAGTGGACTTTGCGGGTTTCCACTTGACCACTGCCAAGAAGTGGTACTGCCTCCTCAAGAGGGAAGCCCAGAAGATGAGTTCGAAATTGTTTGGTTTTATGGCGGTACGGGAGTGGGTTTTATGACTGGATTCGTAGGAGTTTCTAGCACGCTATATTTCAAGGATTCCTGGAGGGGTGCGTTTTTTCGATTAGTTGACAAAATTTACAACAAGTTCCGAGTGATGATTGTGGTGAGCAAAAACCATCTACCAAGAAAGATTTATGGAGACAGATTTGGAGGACATGCTTGAGAGGGTTAGTTCTTGATCTCTCCTTCTATATGTCAATATTGACTTGCCTTTGAGAAATCTGGACAAACCTGCTCATACTAATGGTGTTGTAAATTCTTTTTGCTACAGCATATATTGAAAGAAAAGTTGAATAAAGCTATGCTCAAACTCAGGGGAAGCATAGTTGTGCTGTGATCGATCTATGATGTCTGAGCATGGATGGATTTGAATCCATTTTCGACATCTTGCCTCAATACTCGTGATGCTAGATGAATGTCACCGGAACTTATGTAGATTTATGTGATAGCTTACAATAACCATAATGAATAGAGAGTTTCACTGAAACTTGTTTCAGAAAGTTCATTTATAATTGGGACTTGGAGTCAATTGTGATTGGTAACTAATAGCAAGTGCTGTTTCTGTTCTTCTTCTTCTTCTTCTTCTTCTTCCTCTTGGTTTTTTTTTTCCATTCTATTTGGTCTTTATATCTGTTAAAAAGATAGAAGAAAATAGCAAGCTTAAATAGAAATCTAGTTCTTGAATGATGTAAGTCGCAAATCACATTCCTCGTAAATAGCAAGCTTAAATAGAAATCTGGTTCTTGAATGATGTAAGTCGCAACTCTCTTTGAATCAAAAGTTAAGCGATGCCTTTTGAGAATTCTATAGAATCATTGTTCACAATGTGTTTTTTCATATCTCTTTTTTTTCCGCCCTTGCTTAACAGAATTAGAGGCCAATTTAGTTTAATTTAATAGGAAATAGCCAGATTAAAAAATAAGGGATCAAAGTGCAAAACATAGAGGAAATGGATGACATTTCAAACTTTGGATGAAATTTTCATTGGAGTCCTCATACTTTTCAAATTATAAATATTATGTCCCTTTTATTTTCAAAAACAAAGTCAATTCTATTCCGAAATTATTTTTTTTTTATTTTAAAGTTACTAATTTGAGAGAAGAAAAAAAGTCATTGGATTTAACGATAAAGATGAAAATTTACATCAACATCAATTTAGGCCATATAAATAATTAATCATAGTGTCAATAAGTTTTAGGTGGCATCTTCACTTAGGTGTTTTTTATCTTTAAATTGTCTAAAAAACTATATTTTAGTTTGGAAAGATTTTTTTATTTAGAGTTGATTTTAGATTTTTGCGCTAGTTTTTAAGCTTTTTAAAAGTTATCGATCGGTTTATTAAGATATTAATGATAAAAAAAAATGAGTTTCCAGGTCAAAAAATCATAATCCCTAATTTTTCAACCACCACGGTCAGTAATATCTGGAGAAAAGTAAACAACATGCAGTTTGACTTTATTTTTTTTCAAAAATATTTAGGGCTAGCACATTATCATTTAAAAAGTAAGAGTTCACTCCACGCACATGCCATTTCAAAATAGGTCTAGGGTTTTAGTGTGGCTTATTAGACCCAACAACACCTGACCTCTTTGTTTTTTTAAATGATACCTTTTTTAATTTATATTTTTTAATTAACTTTTTAATTTATATTTAAGTTAATATACATTCCCTTTGGTTTTTTCTTTTGTTTATTTAGCATCTTTTAAATAACTAGTTTTTTTTAATTATTGCATATGTATTTAAATTTTAAAGAGATTATTTTAATTCATCTATAGTTTTTTTATGTTTACATAAATGAATTTTATTTAAAAAATATTTATTTTTTTATAATATTTCTAATATGTATATGATATTTTTTTATTTTATTCAATTAATTTCACGTGTTTGTATATTTTTATTGTCATTTAATTAAATAAAAATATAATTTTAATAAACAAAATCATTAAACATAACTGAATAAATAGTCTCTCTTGCGATGTCAAATACTTTGATCCACTTTTATTTTTTAATTTTTCTATTTTCTTCTTTTGTTGCCATGAATGATTTTTTCTTCATTTATTAATATAAATAGTTGTTGATTTATTTAATTACATATTTTGATTTATATTTTTTAGTAAAAAAATATCAAAATAGATTAAACATTCAAATTTTTTATTGAAAAGAACATTCTATCAACAACGAAGTGCGGGCCAAATAGTTAATAAATATCAAAACTGGGTAGTTTTTTTACAGTTCAAAATGTAAGGATATACTAAAACAGAGAATGAACCCATTTCATCCTCTATCACATGAATATAAGTTTTAAGATTGAATGTAGGCATTTAAGAGCTAATATTTGGATAGCGAGATCAGAGCTCTGATTTAGATAATAAAATCCAGAATTGTTCTGGTGATTTGTAGTTTAAATGTGAAAAAATGAATTTTGATCTTGGAAATGAGTGCAGGAAGATCTTTGGGAGGTGTTTTTATATGAAGAATTCTGACAGATCCACTCTCGAAGTGAAAAATTCAGCGAGTCGTGACTTAAAATCGTTGGAAGAGAAGACATGGACATTACATGATCCGCTTTTTAATCCTTTCCTTTTTATTTTTTTTATTTTTTCTGAGGCCGGGCCTGATGAACTAGGCCCATGCTTGCATGGGCATAAAAGTGAAGACCCCACGTGAACAGGGCTTGCCCCACAGTTTCTTCTTCTAATCATTTTTTCTTTTTCACTTTTTTCCTGTTCATTTTATTTAATTCTTTGTTATTATTATATTATATATTTTTATGTTTATTAAATTTTATGGTTATTTTTAAATTAAATTAAAATTTTAAATAAACTAGATATGATACAATTTTCCTTTTTTGTTTAAAACGCATCTATATTATTATATTAAATGTTTATTTAACAATGATAATTATTTTTAATTTTTTGTTTCCTTTAATTTCAGACATACTTTGTACTATATAAATTATAATATCAATATTTTCAGATATATTTTATATAAAAATAACTGATTCTTAATTTCTTCACTCCATCCCTTGTTTTAAATTTTAAGTAATTTTTTAATCAGTTTTTTAAGATATAAAAATTATTTTCTAAACGATGGAAACCCCCTTAAATAATACATCTAGACTTAACTTTTTAACCTGTAATTTTATTTTATTTTTAAAAATAGTGCATTCAACCATATTGTCATTTAAAAATAACTTGAATCAAATGTATTGATAAATTAAACATCATATCATGCTCGAATTAAGATAAAAGGCATTGAAGATGTGGATTTTAAAATAAAACTTGGATTATTTACTTAATACAAATGTCTTGGCCTTTATAAGACTCCTGTAGTTCTAATAATGGCTTATGTGTTTATGTTTTCAGCTTACTTGTGTATTTTTAACAAAATGACATTGAAAGATTCCATCCAAGTGAGCTTTAATTGTTTAAAGTCAATCGATTATCTGTGAATATATTACATGTCAAGAACTACTGAATATTACTACCTCACCGGGTGGTATAGACGCGAGGCTCGATTCTTGGGGAGAAGAAAAGGTTTTGTGTCGGGCTATAGAAATTTAGGGTAAAATAGAGTTTTTTTTTTATTAATTTTTGTAGATATATGATAAATAAAATTTCAGATAATTTTTATTTTGCAGTTGAGGCTTCTGAAGACAATTTTCATTTCACAAAAAGTATAATTGATGAATATATATTATTTATTTTTAGAGTTTTTATTAAGTGAAGTACTTAAATCATTGTCCGAATAATCTTTAATTTGCACGTGCTATATGCTACGATCAGATTTTTTAACGATTAAAATCAATGCATACTATCACATTGACATGTATGCTACCATGACAGTTAATAAATTAACAAATTAAAATCTCATTTCTAAATGTTTTTCAATGAATTGGACCCTCCTCATATTAATACTAACATGATATGTCATTTTAATTAAATCCTCATAAAATGATTAAGATTACTTGGTATATTTATTCACTTTAAAAATAGTGAAATGACCTAATTTAATCCCATGAATTTTATGAATATTAAGAAAAATCACTAATGAATATAGTCCCGCAACTCTTTTTTTTTATAAAGAAAAAAAAACAGAGACTCGTTACTTAATTTAATATCAAATAATATATTGACTTGTGACCACGCGTCAAAAAAATCAATATATTCGCACGTGAACCCTGTAGCTACACCAACGGACACGTAGTCGTGCCCGCGAAATGGAGCATAGCACTAAAGTCACCGTCCAGAAACTCTTCAAATCGAAACGATAGCTGTTATAATTAACTATTACTCTAAATGGTGAGGGGAATCACTGTTCCCCCACACCAAAATCACTGTGGATTACAACAGTAATCCACAGTGTTTTTTTTTTTTCATTTTCCCCTCAACTTCCCCCCCTTTTCATTTTCTTTTGTTTTTTCCAAAATCACTTTCCTTTTTTTTTTTCTCATTTATTTTTTTTTATTGATTTTACTTTTTAAATATTAACTTGATTAAAAATTTAATTTTATAATTTTTTTCTTTAAAATACTGTAGATTTCTACGGTGTTTTCTTACATAATTTTTTTTATTTTATAAAATTATATTTGTTGATTTGATTTTTTAATATTTTATTTTATAATTTTTTTCTTTAAAATATTTTTTATTGTTATAATATTTTTCTGCATGGTTTTTTATGATTTTATCTAAAATTATTTTATGATTTTATTTTTTAATATTAATCTGGTTAAAAATTACAATTATAATATGATAAAAACACTATGACTTTCCTCACAAATTACTGTGGATTGCCACACTATTTTTTCCCGCATGGGTTTTTTATGTTTTGTTATGTTTTTTTCTAAAATTATCTTTATTAATTTTATTTTTAAAATATTAAGTTAGTTAAGAATTGCAATTACAAATAAATACAAGTTTTTCCTCACAAAACACTATGGATTGATACAGTTTTTCCTTACAAGGTTTTTTTCAATTTCTTTTGTGTTTTTATTTTTTATAATATTTTTTAAAATTATCTCCATCGATTTAATTTTTTTAATATTTAGTTGGTTATAATTTAAATTTGCAATAAAGCTTAATCATATAGGGAAAACACAGTAACTTTCCTTATAAAACATTGTGGATTGCTACAATATTTCTTCATATGGTTTTTTTATTATAGTTTTTCTAAAATTATCTTTGTTAATTTTATTTTTTTAATATTAGACTATTTGAGAATTACAATTACAAGTTATTACAAATAAAGCTAAATCATGTAGGGAGTATTGTAGCTTTCATCATAAAACACTGTAAATTGCTATAGTGTTTTTATCATTATTTTTTTATGTGTTTTTTTATTTTTTTAAAAATTATCTTTGTCGATTTTTTTAAATATTGAGATGATTAAAAATTTAGTTTTATAATTTTTTTCTTTAAAATACCATGAATTGTTGCAGTGTTTTTTCATGTTATTTTTAAAATTATTTTTGTCAAATTTTTTCAAATATTAAGTTGATTAAAAATTATAATTACAATAAAGGTAAATCATACGAGGAAAGCGTTATAGTTTTTCTCACAAAACATTGTGGATTGTTATAATATTTCGTTAAATGGTTTTTTATTTGATTTTATTAGGGAAAACATTATAACTTTCCTCACAAAACATTGTCAATTGTTAAAATGTTTTTTTCATGGATTTTTTATTTTAAAATTATCTTTGTTGTTTTTTAAATATTAAGTTGATAAAGAATTTAGACTTATAATTTTTTTTTACTTTTTATTAACAAAAAATTTAAATTATGTAGCGAAAACACTATATTTTTTCTCACAGAACATTATAGATTACTACAAATTATTTTATTCAATCTTTATATTTTTTTACCATTAACACAAACCTTTTTTTTTTATAAAATATTTTTTTATTATATATTTAATTTTTATTATTTATTTAGTAGTGATTTATAATTATAATACTATTAAGTATATTTATTTTATAATTTTATAAGCATGAAATAGCAAGCGGATATGTTAACTCCTAAACAACTAAAACGAAACGCTCTTTTACTATTCGGTTTCTCACTGTAGAAATGGCATTTTGTAATTTTGGGTAAGCTTGGGTTTATGTGAAAAAGGCAGTCTGTGATTGAAGGGGAGGCTTGGGTTTTGTGGGATTCATCATCATCATCATTGCTGGGATCTGTCCATGGTAGGTATGGTAGTCACAGTCCTCAAGGCTAGATTGATTTTTTTGTGGCGGTTTTGAGTCGTGGCTTGAATTAGATTGGAGTATTTCTTTGAGTTTCTACATTATGATTACAATTTGTCAGCCATATTGCTGGAATGCGCAAAATTTCAGTGTCAAAATAGCAGTGTTGGGGGATTTTCAGAGCTTTGTTAGCTGGGTTAACAGGCTTTTGGTTTTTCCTTTTTTTTTTAAAAAAAAATTTGGATTTGGCTACCCAGTGTTGAGGTTGATGAGATAAATTGATGGGTGATCGTGTTGATTTGATTTGGAAGGTTTCATCTATCTCATTTGACGTTCTTGCTTGGATGAATGTATATTTAAATATTGTGGTTAGCTTCTTCTTCTTCTTCTTCTTCTTTTTCCAGTGCTTTCTCTTACACATAAAAAGTTCCATGGCTAGCAGATTCTTAAATTGGTTTGAACCCTTTTATAGGGAATTGCTTGATTTCCTTTTTAATCTTGTTTTAGCGTTTCTTTTTTTCATCTATTCTATTTCTTTTATCTATCTGTTTTGGAGGATTTGTTTGTGTTGAGTTATTTCTCTTGGGAATGTGTCATCTGCAGCAACTCTTGCATTATAGGTTTTAAATATTGCCTATGTTACTTATCATCAACCTTTATTTGACATGTGTTCAAGTTGTCATTTTTTACGAGTTTTTCCATTTGTATGTTGCACGATCACAAACTGTGTGATGATTGTGCATTTAATGTGAAGATTATCTTCAATGGTCAAGGGTGTTGGTAGATACTGATTTGATATTTAGTTTGATTACAACACTGTGTTTGGTTCGTTAATGACTCTGTTTCCTGTTATGTGTAGGAACTATGCCAAACAACAAATAGTTCTTCTTCAAATAACGAGTTTCTGGTTCAAATTTGACTAAACCAATTTTAACTTCTCCACTCAATGTGGAATTGGTTTAGGAATTCTAATGTAATAATGATTCTTGGCTCTTTTTTTTTTTGTGTACACGTGTTTGTTTTACAGATTTCTTTTATGTTTCACAGTGTTTGATGGAATTCCAAGTATTATTCACTGGTATAAATCAATGTCTTCCTGAGTGTTTTTGGCTTTTGGTCCGTCTGGATTCTTTTACAGTATCCCCCACTGGTTTGGAACAAGGTGAATCTCTCTTATCAATTAAATGAAATTTCTTCCCCTTTTCCTTTTTCCTTACTGTCACAGGTGTATGTTCCAGGGTTGCTGTATGTTCTAGGGTTAGGAACTTTTGATTCTTTCTTTGAATGTCTTTGTGTGTTAAGTTTGTCTTTTGTTTATCTTCTCTGGTGTGTTTGGGTTTGTTTTCCCGTCTTTCTTTTTTCCTTAACAGCGTTTTTGTTTTCCCAGTGCATTCTTTGCAAATAATGTGTTGTTTGATATGTTAAGAAATTGTTACTCAGAGAATTGATGAGCTTGAACAGGAGGTTATGGACAGGCCAAAGAAAGTTGATGAGGCGATGAAATTGCAGAATAATTTACTTATTTAGCTCAAACGACATAGTCCATGATTGTCTATAAAGAAAGGGAATTGAAATGGAATCAGTAGACGAGTAATGAGTTGCTTGCTACAGCTAAGAACATATAGAAGCATGTTGGAGAGTTGCAAGGGCAGGTTAGGACAAAAACAGAAACAGTAGCAGATAAAACAGAGTCAGCACACAGTTTTAGCATGAAAGTTGTGCTGCCATTGCCATTATTTAAAAGATAATAAGAAGCTGAAGACTGGCAAAGAAAAGTTGAGGGAAGAACTTATGTACAAAGTGGAATGTCTTGAGAATCTTGGTCAGATTAGTTACATTTTTAAGGAATTAATGGTATAAATTGAAGTGGGAAGGGCATTGCAAGTTGAATTACTTCAAAAAACTGAAATGAATGCCGTGAAAATCTGGAAGCAAGAAAAAAAACTGATCTGAGATGTTTTATCACTACTCTTTTTTGGAAAATCTCTATGTTTTTAATTTGTTTATCTCCAAACTCAGGTTTTACATTGGTTTTTCTGCTTTCGCCACCTTCCCTGCTTATTGTTAGCTAATTTGGTTACTGAGATCACTTTTTTTTTCCCCAATCGTCCTTATCACTCTGAGTAAAGGAGCCAGCTCTGGTGCATCTTCAATTGGAAAACCTTTATACATCCAGCTACCGTGGATTTGAAAGGCAAAACATATGAGTATGTTCTTTTTAATGTTCTATTACATGTAATTCAAATATCAGGAGAATTAGCCAAGTAGGAACTTTATAGATATTGTGATCACAACTTACATAAAGTCCATATGAACTCAGAGAAGCATGCAATAATAATTTTCTACATGGCTTAATTGTAGGCTGCTGAGAATAAACGCTGGAAGATTTTAGATGGAAGATCTATACCAAAATTTAGGTCCCCTTCAATGTGATGGTCCTGGTGCTGATCCTAAGGCTCTAACTCTGTGTTGAAGACCAGGATTACATGGGTCTGATCAAGAAACGGCAAGAATACCTTGACGAGGTGCTCAGTTTCTATTCTCTCAATTATGTGTTTCACGTTTAAATATTTTCTCAATATTTTGGATTATTTTCTTTCCCTTTGCAAATGGATGGTCATTTTCCTTGCTCAGCCTATGAAGGTTGTATACCATCAGATTAGTTTTTGGCGTTCACATTGCAGCTTTGTTTCTGCCCCTTCAATGGTGGCTGTCTAAGCTTTTAAATTAAGAAGTCCATAAATAATGGTATTTTTTTTTCAGTTGAACAAAATCAATTTCGAATTAATATTGGCCATAAATTGATTGTCAAGTCATTCCCATGATTTGTAATGGTGATTCTCTGATAGAAATCCAGTGATGCTTGGTTCCCTCAAGACCAATTGCTTTGAAATATACAAATGATAACAATAACCTGTCACAACCCTCTCTCATATAAAGTCAAGAAAATCTTGATAATTTGAAAGACCTAGACATTTGCTCTTTGCAAATATTCCCCCACTTTGCTCTCACATCCAATTCTAATCAACCTTATGGTTATTTAAACATAAGCTTTCTTTGTAGTTGCGGTTGGAAACTATCAATAATGTGTAGAAACCAACACCTCTGCGATGTGTGTAAATCATGCTAATTACCCTTGCCCATAATTGTCGTGCCAAGTGTGGTAATCTTTTTGGTTGTGATAGCACTAGCATGCAAGCTACGATTCTTTACCATATGATTCCTGGGTAACTGATTGAGTGCCATGGATTTAAAAAATAAAGGCATTGGATCAATTTGAAGGGTTACGCCTATTAATGGAACTTAGATCAAAATTCTAAAACTATTCCAAAATCCTGCATCCTTAGACATATTTTAAAGTAAGTGACATGTATAATATAATTTTTGCACTTGATATGCGTGCATATGTAAGTCTTGAATTTTCAAATAATCATTTTTACCTTAAAAATTGGCTGGCTGTAGTTGAGTTGTTGATGATTGGATCTGCCACTTTAACACTGTTATTTGTTCTTTATGAACTTCCATTTGTGATACTCTGTATTTGCACACATGTAATTAATTTAAATTTGTACATTTCTCCACTCCTTTCTCCAATTGGAGTGCCTATGATATGTGCAAGGGCCTAGGCGTATTAGAACCAGTACTACTGCCTAATTCTTCTTTTTCCAAAAAGAATAAAAGTTAGGGGACCAAAGTCACAACCATTTGTAACTTTCAAATAATTAGTACTTCCATAAAGCAAGTTTTAATGTACATATGTAGGTAATACAATGCCAAGACAATCTTCAAAGGTGGTATATTTGATTTTTCACTTGACAATTTGCTTATCAAACTATTGTATTTGTATTTATCGATGATTGTATTTGTATTTTTCACTAACGAAATGCGGGTATAAAAGTAGTTCATATGTAAACACCAATCAAAACCATGACTTTTAGTTTCTTATTCTTGTTATATATATATTCTAGAGAGAAAAAATGGAAAATATATGCGAAGGACAGATTTTACGACTCCAGTCATATACTCTTACATTCTATAACCAATAGCTTTGTGGCTCGTTGATGTTGGTGATTTAGGTTTTCTTTATTTTTGTTTTTGTGTTTTAAATTATTTTTTTTAAATTAATATTTTTTTTATATATATTTTCATATTGTTTTGATATGCTGATGTTAAAAGTAATTTTTTAAAAATAAAAAATATATATTATTTTAATCCATTTATGAATAAAAAACACTTTAAAAAACATTCATAATCATACTCTTAAATATGCTTTTAATTATCACCATATCAATTGAAGGAAAAAAAAATCATAAATTCTCTGAAACAAGTAACAAGGGTCGAACCATGGAATCCAACGCTAATTTATGATCTCTTTCTTGGTTAGGATTGGAGTCCATGTTTGCATATCCAAAACCATCCATGTTCACCTATCTTCACTTTGGATTGGAAGGAACCACTTGCTGGGATTTGCTCCCAACTTTGAACGGTCAATGCAGAAAAAAGTCCAAATTCAAAGCTAAAGGGTGAAGGAAATGCAGACAAGTCATCACAAACAGAACAAGCCTGGGAACTTGCATTGCACGCAAAGCTAACTGGATCAGTATTGCTGTAGAAAAAATGGAAAATGTCTTTAATATTAGACTTTGAATATTAGAAGTCGTTGGTCTGTGCGGAGTATTAACCATTTATAGATATATTCTTAAGCGACCAAGTTCCAATCAACCTGGGACAAGAGGGACTAACTCTAAAAATAACCAAAAAGCATTTCTGATTAGGACTTGCAGCGAGACCGCCGCGAATGTGACTTTTGGACTCACCAGAAATTGATACAAAAAAATCTACGCGTTTGAGAATTTGGTGTCAATTCCCATTAATGACTCGACCTTGCACAATAAAAGTTGTCTTCCCCCTGTTCAGTGGGTGAAGGATCAAAATTAGAGAAGAACTATGTATGTATGTCTATATCGATATCTATACATATATATATAGAGAGAGAGAGATAAGGAAACAGCCTATTATTCATCAAGTTTATACAACCTTTTTTGCACACAGAAGCAAAATATAGTCAAAATATTTATTCCAGTTTTCTTGAATTGGGTGAGCATGGAAACACTTGCTACTGTTTTTAATCTTGTGCTTCTTTTGATTGTGAATCTTGTATTCAATGGAATTGGAGCTGATTCGAACTTGAGCTGTATCAAGAGGGAGAGAGATGCACTTCTCAAGTTCAAGCAAGGCCTCACAGATGATTCAGGCCAATTGCTTTCTTGGATTGGAGAAGACTGTTGCACATGGAAGGGAGTAAGCTGTAGCAACAGATCTGGCCATGTTGTACAACTTGATCTACGAAATCGGCAGGTTCTTGTGTAAAACA